ACTTTAAGGAAAGATTTCCATTTACAACTTCACATTAACTCATATAAAAATAACTTGACCCTACACAAAATGTCCTTTTAGCAACATTCAAAGAAATTAACTGGTACAATTTCCAATGTGGCAGAGGTACTGAAGCAAAAAAACAAACAAAAAAAAAACCCCAAAAACAAAACAAAACAAAAACACACCCACAGAAAGGCAAGTTGTGACAAAAGTATGCATTAATTTTCTGGACAGTATCTTCTCCCAAATTAAATGACACTGTATAAAAATTTGCTGGAAAAATATTACAAAACTGAGCCCTGTACATTTACACTCGAGTCCAAGCCATTCTGAACATGGCGGGAACCCACAGTTCGGTTACCTTTCCCACTCACTGCTTTCTCCTCTTGAGGGTCATGATTGGAGTCTGTGTCATTTGAGTGGTGTGTGAGAGAGTTTTCACTGCCCGTGGGAGAGTCTACACTTTCATACCCCACACTGAGTTGGTTTACGTAACCACTACCTCCTCTGCCAGTTCTCTCCTCTGAGCTGTTGGAGGCCTTATTACCATTCCCTGGAGAAGAAGGAAAGCCATCCTCAGTTGTGTTCCCCTCCCTGTGAAATCCAGACCCAGACGTCCTCTGACGGGAGGAGCTGCCATTACTTGGTCCATTTGCCAGACGACTGCAGTCTTTACTTGTGGCCTCCGCCTGTTCTACAGGTTCAGAAGATGTAGTCCTGCTGGTGCTTGGGGCCGAGACTTGAGACTGCTGCTGTTGGTACTGAGCCAACTGCTGGCGAGTCTCCTTCAGTTGCTGCTGAAGAACTAAAATGGTGCTCTGCATACCCTCTACTTCTTCATCAAGTTGAATGATGAAGTCATTCAGTTCTGTGCAAAGGAGAGTCAAATCTACTTTAATATGTTGTTAATGCTTCCTAAGTGAACAAGTACAATTCTAAAACCACAATAATATATTTTAAGTTTTTACTTGGAATTTTAAGTCATTTAGGAATGAGTTTTTTTTGGGGGGTTCAGATGCTTCAACATCAACTTGAAAAGACTTAAAATTGATTCAAAGATGGACCTAGTGGCACACACCTGTAATCCCAGCACTTGGGAGGCTGAGGCAGGATCCATCACAGAGTTCGAGGCTAGCCTGGACTACATAGTAAGTCCAGCCTGAACTATGTAGCGTGAGACCCTGTCTCTAAAACAAAACAAAGATTCAACTCATTCTTTTACATACAAGTGATTACAGCCTAGGAAATCTGATCCATGTTGTACCTGTGGCCAATCCCATTACTACGTACCTTCTTAGCCAGTGTCTTAGCTCCACAGCATGTTCAGCCCTTAGGATACTGTGGTCCTCTACTCTAACCTTCCAAAGAGGCCTATAATCTAACAAAAAACTGTTGCACACACAAAATTCACATAAAATAATTTTTGAAGATTCTACATAAAACCTCCTACTGAACATGTTTACAAGTAGTTAAGAGCTAAGAACTTTCACTTTGAAAAAGCAGTTTTAAAGATATTACTGATTTTCTTTAAAATTAATTATACTACTTTAGTATTTTTGTTTTTTTGAGACAGGGTCTCAACTATGTAGTTGACCTGGAACTCAGTATGCAGTCCAAGCTGGTCTTGAACTCAGTGATCCTCCTGCTTCAGCCTCCAGAGTGCTGGGATTACAGGCATGCACCACCACACTAATACTACTTTAGTATTAGTATTTGCAAAGTACTAATTCTCAGCTTACATTTTCATTTTTTTTTTTTAATGTAGCAAGTAGCTGCATTTATTGAAGATCATAGGGCAGTAACAGGCAGTAAAAGGAGTGAAGAGAAAATGAGCAAAAAATGGACTCCATGAAGGGGAAAAAAGGCTAAATTTTCAGTGTGGGTTTATTTCTTCATATTAATTAATCTTCACAAACAGAAAAAACAGCATAGATGCAGATATACTTGCCCCAAGAAGAAAAGTTTGGTTGCCTCAGCAAATATAAATATTAAATCTTTTATTCACTCAACAGGACCTTAGTTAGTACAATCAATTACATTATTTTCAGATCACTGCAAATTACCAAACGTTTCCAAGATTTATACTTAATGGTTGAAGATATACAGTGGTACCTCAGTTCAGGAACTTGTTTGCATCGGGTGACAAACACAACTGCAGCCATCTTTTTCCCACACAAATACAACGTGGCCATCTTTTCCAAAATTGTAGAATAAATTAAGTTCATGAACGGAGGTACCACTGTACACCCTTTTTAAAGCACCACTGTGTGTGTGTGTGTATATATATATATATATTTTTTTTTTTTTGAGACATGGGCTTA